TAAAGGCCAATTTTTTTAAATATAAAGTTTTACTATATTTTCGCGAAATAACGCCTACCTGTGCATTATTTTGAGTATATGCGCGTTATTTTGAGTACGCGCATGGGCGTTATTTTGAAACAAATATAAAATTTTTAAGTATCTTCTTATATAAAACAAAAATGTTTCGAAACTAAGTTTACTTTGTATCAAACTTAGTTTTGAAGCATTTTTTAATATTACGATAAATAAATACTTCTTACTATTGGGTGTGCGTTATTTCGGAACGCGCATAGGCATTATTTCGAAGCTATATATGTTATTTTTAAGGGTTACAATTTTCGAAATAACACCCATGCCCATTATTTCGCAAAAATACAGTAACTTTTTTATCTGAATAACAATTTTTTGTATCTGAGTTCAAATGCTAAGATTATTAAACCAAAAACTATAAAAGCTATCTTGTGGATTCATATATATGAATTATCAAAAATATAATAATGTATACATTGAGAATTTATAATATGAAATTACATAAACTAAAAACATATAGTCACGTAATTGTGTAATCATGATTAAACAATAAAAAAAAACTTAAAATTAGAGAATTTAGATTTTATAATGATATACTGTATCTGATTTATAAAAATGTAAAAATACTAATTCCCTAATTTTAATGATAAGATATTTACATTTTTTCTTCAGGTGTTAGACATAATTTATCTAATTTTTCTCATTCTTTTTGAGATGCACGATCTTGTTTTACTAATAACGATGTTGCAACTAAACGTATAGAATTGTGTAATTCAAGAAGTCGTTTCCATACTATAAAGGTGGAATTCTATCTAGTTTTAGTATCAAGCAAGACATCTAAAGGACTTATTGGTGCTTCAACATTTTCAACATTTTCATCTGGATTGTTATTATATTGTGACTCCCTTAATCTTTGTGTTTGTTTTGGCGATTTAAAAAATAATTGTAAATTTTTAATTCGTCTATATATATTTTTACATTGTTTTAGACCTTCATATACTGATAACTATAAAGTATGAGCTGCACAAGGTTGTCTTTCAATAGAAGGAAAAGTGCCATTAAGAAGATGGATAGCTTTCACAATATTTGCGCCATTGTTCGTGGCAATAGTAAAGACTTTATTAGTAAGGTGCCACTTTTAAATAATATGATTTAATTCCTCACTAATAATTTCACCAGTATGCGGATGATCAAGAACATTGCAGGTTAATAATACTTCTCGAAATGTGAAATCAGGAGTAAGCCAAGTAGCCATTACTCCAATATATTTATAGTTACTTTTTGCTGTCCAAAGATCAGTTGTTAAATGAACTGAAATAGTCGTATTATTAAGTAAATTATGCAATTGATCTGTACACCACAAATATACTTCGTGAATTAATTTTTTGGCTGTTTTATTCATAGTATATGAAATCTAGGCTCACAACCCTGAACGAATTCATGAAAATCTTTATTCTGAAGAATATTAGAAAAAATTTGTTTTTTATTATATATCAAATTTATCAAATTTATAATCTCTGATTGGTTATCTACTGTATTATATATTACTAGGTATTATTAGATATATTTATAAAGCCCAAACCTGGCCTAGTAGTTTGCAAACCCAAACTCAAACCTGGCCTATATTATAAAATATAGGCTCAAACCTAGTCCATAAGTTTATAAACTTAGCCTGGCTCATTCTACACCCTAATTATAATATATAGTATTATAATAGAATTTTTTTTTCTTATTTTTTTTAATTATTATTACAATATTATATTTTATTCATATATTATAGTTAGTTATTGTAATAAAATTTACTAAAAACTAGCAAGCTTTAGCAAATTTTAAAAACACAAGTATTGAGTAAAAGATCTTTTATTTAAAGAAAATCAAAAGAAAAATAAAAAAATAAAAATAATTAAACAGGATTTAAATTTAATAGCCTCCTAGATACTATAAAAAGTTAGCAATAGGCAATTGTACAATTGCCTATTGCTAACTTTTTATAGTATCTAGGAGGCTATTAAATTTAAATCCTGTTTAATTATTTTTATTTTTTTATTTTTCTTTTGATTTTCTTTAAATAAAAGATCTTTTACTCAATACTTGTGTTTTTAAAATTTGCTAAAGCTTGCTAGTTTTTAGTAAATTTTATTACAATAACTAACTATAATATATGAATAAAATATAATATTGTAATAATAATTAAAAAAAATAAGAAAAAAAAATTCTATTATAATACTATATATTATAATTAGGGTGTAGAATGAGCCAGGCTAAGTTTATAAACTTATGGACTAGGTTTGAGCCTATATTTTATAATATAGGCCAGGTTTGAGTTTGGGTTTGCAAACTACTAGGCCAGGTTTGGGCTTTATAAATATATCTAATAATACCTAGTAATATATAATACAGTAGATAACCAATCAGAGATTATAAATTTGATAAATTTGATATATAATAAAAAACAAATTTTTTCTAATATTCTTCAGAATAAAGATTTTCATGAATTCGTTCAGGGTTGTGAGCCTAGATTTCATATACTATGAATAAAACAGCCAAAAAATTAATTCACGAAGTATATTTGTGGTGTACAGATCAATTGCATAATTTACTTAATAATACGACTATTTCAGTTCATTTAACAACTGATCTTTGGACAGCAAAAAGTAACTATAAATATATTGGAGTAATGGCTACTTGGCTTACTCCTGATTTCACATTTCGAGAAGTATTATTAACCTGCAATGTTCTTGATCATCCGCATACTGGTGAAATTATTAGTGAGGAATTAAATCATATTATTTAAAAGTGGCACCTTACTAATAAAGTCTTTACTATTGCCACGAACAATGGCGCAAATATTGTGAAAGCTATCCATCTTCTTAATGGCACTTTTCCTTCTATTGAAAGACAACCTTGTGCAGCTCATACTTTATAGTTATCAGTATATGAAGGTCTAAAACAATGTAAAAATATATATAGACGAATTAAAAATTTACAATTATTTTTTAAATCGCCAAAACAAACACAAAGATTAAGGGAGTCACAATATAATAACAATCCAGATGAAAATGTTGAAAATGTTGAAGCACCAATAAGTCCTTTAGATGTCTTGCTTGATACTAAAACTAGATAGAATTCCACCTTTATAGTATGGAAACGACTTCTTGAATTACACAATTCTATACGTTTAGTTGCAACATCGTTATTAGTAAAACAAGATCGTGCATCTCAAAAAGAATGAGAAAAATTAGATAAATTATGTCTAACACCTGAAGAAAAAATGTAAATATCTTATCATTAAAATTAGGGAATTAGTATTTTTACATTTTTATAAATCAGATACAGTATATCATTATAAAATCTAAATTCTCTAATTTTAAGTTTTTTTTTATTGTTTAATCATGATTACACAATTACGTGACTATATGTTTTTAGTTTATGTAATTTCATATTATAAATTCTCAATGTATACATTATTATATTTTTGATAATTCATATATATGAATCCACAAGATAGCTTTTATAGTTTTTGGTTTAATAATCTTAGCATTTGAACTCAGATACAAAAAATTGTTATTCAGATAAAAAAGTTACTGTATTTTTGCGAAATAATGGGCATGGGTGTTATTTCGAAAATTGTAACCCTTAAAAATAACATATATAGCTTCGAAATAATGCCTATGCGCGTTCCGAAATAACGCACACCCAATAGTAAGAAGTATTTATTTATCGTAATATTAAAAAATGCTTCAAAACTAAGTTTGATACAAAGTAAACTTAGTTTCGAAACATTTTTGTTTTATATAAGAAGATACTTAAAAATTTTATATTTGTTTCAAAATAACGCCCATGCGCGTACTCAAAATAACGCGCATATACTCAAAATAATGCACAGGTAGGCGTTATTTCGCGAAAATATAGTAAAACTTTATATTTAAAAAAATTGGCCTTTAATAACTATAAAGAATGAATATTGGCAGATTAATGCCTCAATATGAATGTAAGAAAAAAAACACCTAATTTTAATAATAATACTTATATATTTGGAACAAAAGAACTAACTATTTTTTTTATTTTTCATATGTATCATTCGCGATTGAATACGTGATCATGAGACTTAGATAAAACAATTCAAAAAGATAAGTACTTTTTGTATATATATATATTTTTTTTTGGTCTACAACTAATTTCCTTAATTTAGATTCTAATTTGATCATTATGATGCATACAATATATCTTGATTAACTTTTGTCAAGAAATGCCAGATTTTACTATACTTTATATATTATATTTAGTACAGAAATAATTTATTTGTATCTGTGGCCAATCAATCTCGTTTTATTTATAATAATTTTACAGATATTACTAAGTTCAAATTCTTAGCACATTGTTGCTTTGTACAGAAAGATTACCAAATTATGATTTAAAACCTATTGGCAAAATCAATAGATTCTAATTCAGAATTTTAAATTTCTTTGTATAAATTGACAAGGATGTTCTTTGAACAGGTTTTTGGTCATACAAAATGCTGTTTAAATTGACCTAGAGTATTCTCAAATTATATTACTTAAACGTGTCTAAAAATTTTAATTAAAAATTAAACTATTTCTTATAGACTATTGTTTCAATATCTATCATAAAAGGATAGTATCTCTTTCTTATTACTGGCCAAAACTTAGGTTCTATCACAAAATCTTGATATCTAAAATCTCGACAGACCATAATACTAACATCACGTGTAGTAAAAATTAAAAATTTAGTCTAACAATGATTATTAATATGATTACTAATCATTAAATACTAATTGTCATGTTGGGATTATAGTTTTTGAGATTTTGGATGTTAGAATTTTGTAATAAAACCATGTATATCCTTTAGATGCTTAAGAACATCCTAAATTATGAATGATTAAGCATTTTAACATATTAATTTGAAAAAATACTAATTATTATTTATTTTAATAATTTTTTTATTTTATATACAGTTTTGTTAAAGAAATGATTCAATTATTAGAACCATTTAAAGCTTTAATACGAAGATTGTCAGGTGTTAAATATCCAACACTTAATCTAATATATCCATGTATATATATATTAAAACAAATATTTGCACCAGAAATTGAAAAAAATGAAACTATTGATAGCTATTTAGATCTTATTTATATCTTTTAACACAAGATGATATTTTAGAAAGTACTGAAAATGATGATGATTCAAGTTCTACAAGTGATGATAATGATATTCCAGCTGCTAAGAATCAACAACATTTAAAACATGCTTATCAACAATTTAAGCAACAGATAAAAAATACACGAAGGCGAGGTAGAGGTCAAGGTTGAGGTAAAGATTAGAATATTTGGTTGTCTAATCAATTATTGCGGTTTGCAAAATTATGTGAAATTTGAAAATTATTAAAAAAAATTAATCACTAATTTTCGATTACTGATTTCTTCAACTTTTTTTTTGACTTTTAGACTTGACAAAAATTTGTACATTTATTATTTGTGAAAATTTGATTGAATATCTTAATTTACAACTCCTATTTCTGCAAATATATTACAAAATGATGAATATTTAACTTTTATTTCCATAAAAATAATAAAATTTTTACAAAATAATAACTGCTCAAATTTTTGTCTAATCTAAAAGTCAAAAAAATGGTGAAGAAATCAGAAATCAGTAATCAGAAATTATTATAGTCTTCGACTAACTAAAATATTGTCAAT